GGGTACTAGTCCAATGCTCCGCAAACTGAGCTACGAGGCCAAGTACGTACGAGTGTGTGGTATTTCGGAACTAAGTATAGTTATTTTTTGGCTGTGTTTTGATGTTATGTAGTCGAGGTTGGCTATGTTGCGAGTTTGCGAGTTGCGAGTTTGTGAGTCTGCGAGTTGCGAATTTGCGAGTCACGGTACAGAAACCCCAGGTTATATTTTTATTCAATAGTTCAAAGTTTAATAGATGTCTAATAATGTTGTTTAATAGATGTTTTTAAAATAGATGTTTAATAGTCAAAACAACGATGTCTTAATCAAAGAGTTTAAATTCCCTTCTAAATACTCGAAGGAACGACAAAATTCGCCCAAAATATATCCGATGCATGTAGGTGCTGTGCAGTAAACAGAAAGTCGTTAAGCCACTAATTGACCAACATATTCAAATGTTTTCCCCTACATGCCTCGGGTGTACTTTGGCCGAATTTTTTCGTTCCTTCGAATATTTTGAAGCGAATATAAGCCCTTTGATTAAAAAAAAAATATCATGATAATAGAACACATTGGTATCGAAGGTACTAGACTTAGTTCCGAATTACGTACCATACTCTCGAACAGACTTGGCCTCGTAGCTCAGTTGACCTCAGTTGGCAGAGCAATTTGACTAGCATCGCAAAGGTCGTGGGTTCGATTCCCACCGTATTCAGGCTAACTTTTCAGCCTGCCTGGTGTGGATATACAATCAAAGTAACATCAATAACACTATACTCACCTGAGTACATAACATCAAAACACACACAAAAAATATCATGACCATAGAACACATTGGTATCGAAGGTACTAGACTTAGTTCCGAAATACCACACACTGGAACAGACTTGGCCTGGTAGTTCAGCCGGCAGAGGGCATTGGACTAGTATCCCAAAGGTCGCGGGTTCGATTCCCACCGTGATCAGGCTAACTTTTCAGCCTGCCCAGTTTGAATATACACTCAGAGTAACATCAAAATCATTATATTCGACATGGTAGATACAGATTTGTTATTACGAAAACTTGCAGTTTACAAATGTGATGATTTGACATTAACCTGGTTTAAGTCATACCTGCAAGAAAGAGACCAATGTGTGCACTTTAAAGGAACTTTGTCATCGAAGAAATCTTCTCTGTATGGTGTCCCCCAAGGAAATATTCTAGGACCTTTATTGTTTATAATGTTTATCGACGATCTTCCACTATATGTCAATTCCAACACAGACATGTATGCTGATGAGTTGACAATCCATACAAGTGCTAGAACAGTTGAGGAACTCAATAATAAATTAACTGAGGATATGACAAACGTTCAAGCATGGTATACTGACAACAACATGGTAATAAATGACGGTAAAACGAAGGCAATGATGATAACAACATCTCAGCGCGCAGCCATAACACTCCATAGCTATCCATAACACTCCATAGGTATCTACAACACTCCATAGCTATCTATAGCACTCCACTGGTATCCATAACACTCCATAGCTATCGATAACCCTCCACTGGTATCCATAACACTCCATACCTATCTATAACACTCCACTGGTATCCATAACACTCCATAGCTATCTATAACACTGCACTGGTATCCATAACACTCCATAGCTATCGATAACACTCCATAAGTATCTACAACACTCCATAGCTATCTATAACACTCCACTGGTATCCATAACACTCCATAGCTATCGATAACCCTCCACTGGTATCCATAACACTCCATAGCTATCTATAACACTCCACTGGTATCCATAACACTTCATAGCAATCTATAACACTACACTGGTATCCATAACACTCCATAGCTATCGATAACACTCCATAGGTATCTACAACACTCCATAGC